TCGTTTACACAAACATACACATTTGTTCATGTACATGACTGTCAACCACCAGATGTGACACTAACTAATACAGACTCAATAAAAACATCTTCATGGAAAAATATGATAGTGAATCATTATATATTTCTCTAGACAAAAATAGACTAGTCATTAATAGTTAATCAACAGACGATTTGCAATGGATGAAAAGACATTTTATGGATCAAATATGATTTTAGAGATTTATCTCTTGTCGATATTTGATCCATTATTCCTTACTGGGTGCTGAATAAAAAAAATTATTATACAAAGAAAACAACAGTCTTACCATAGACAAGATAAAATTTTACTTTGAAGATCACACAATGTGAGTTATTCTAAGTATATCATTAATACTATTAAATGAGACTAGACCTTAAATCAGCCAGTTTTTTATCTTGAGAATTTCTAATAGAATGAATTGTGACACATGAGTAGAAAAGATTGATCGGTAACGAATTTAGGTTTAAAAATTTTCTATCAATTTCTATGCAAAAAAGAAATATTTTACTTCTATACAGCGATCCATTTCGTATTTAATGACCTTTGTTTTAGATGCTCACTTGAATATGACTCTAGAGATATTATTGAAGTGCAGCAATTAATAGCTTTTACTAATATCACAAAGTCGCACGGATATGCAGAGTATTTCACAATGGAAGGTCGCGTACTGCCGCCGAAGGAGATTGAACATGTTCGGGTCAAATGAAAGCTCTCACTGCCAAACTAATAAATTTAAAATATTACGTGCCCATGGCTTGCCTAGAGGAAGATATTTAACTTTTAAGTTTAAGTATAAAAATGAATCAGGAAAGGTTTTCTCCACTATTATAAGGACAAAACATAGTGTTGTTCGGGCCGATTATAGGATTTTTAGGGACCTCTTTCATATGACCCGAACAACGCTATGTTTTGTCCTTATAGTAGCAGAGTTAATTTTTCTAGTGATTGATAGAAGAAGCTGTTCCGATGAGCTACAGGACACAATTCACTCTACTATTATAAGGACAGAACATAATGTTGTTCAGGTCATATGAAAGAGGGTCCCTACAAACCCTATAATCGGCCCGAACAACACTATGTTTTGTCCTTATAATAGTGGAGAAAACCTTTCCTGATTCATTTTTATACTTAAACTTAAAAGTTAAATATCATCCTCTAGGCAAGCCATGGGCACGTAATATTTTAAATTTGTTAGTTTGGCAGTGAGAGCTTTCATTTGACCCGAACATGTTCAATCTCCTTCGGCGGCAGTACGCGACCTTCCATTGTCAGTATTCATAAACGTAATAGGACTAATATTCAAAACACCTTTTTTTAAACTCCACATCAACTATGCTAGGTTTTCAGTGTTGATGAATATCTCTGTATGATCAAGACTCATCCTTTTCCATTTGATTTCAAGTCCGTCTCCGTTGAAACCGGTAACCAGAAATACACTGTAGATATTTAAAAATATAAACTAAATTCCTTTAGAAAATAGTTAGAAAATGTAACATCTATACAACGAATAAAATCGTTTCATAAGTTCTCATTCTTATCTCCGAATCGTTGACTATATTACAATAATGAATAAAATGAGAAAAAGTTCATTTTAAGTTTAGTATTTGCGGCATCAAATTCTTCTTATTGAATTTCTAATGGTTCTTTCCATGAAGTGCAACATGTTTTTTTTTGATGGAATATTAGATAAAAATTTTGTTTTAATTTTACATAAAAACAAATCATCATCAAAATTGTTTAGATCAATTTCAAGTAATTCTAATGTTTATAATTTATGCATTACGTTTTGATCAATACGTTCTAAACATACTGATGTTAATTCTTCTTGACATTCAAATGCAAAACTACAACAGTTTTTGCGGCATATTATATTGACATAATTGAATAATATATTATTGATAATGACAAATGATTATAATTACGGTGAAGAAAATGAAGTAATACACGAGATTTCTAAGATTCTATGTCAAAATACGGTTTCATATCAGATAATTCAAAATCTACATAAATAATATATGTATTTAAACATAATAATGTTAAACAATTATTAAGAGATCATTTTGAATATTGAAACTTAAAATAAAATTTTCTTTTCCATTGTTATAAAATCTTTTGATCTGTCAACTAAATACCAAAATGATTATTCGTTTTTTCATCAACGTTACGATTGCTCCGATTTTGGGATATGCATCACAATTCCTAGAAGATAATGTCAAAGATGACATTTTTTTCCTTGTTAAGAATGTACTTCCTATGGCTTGTTTATATCAACTATGATCAGTTCTTTTGCTCTATCCGAAGCTGTAGTTGAAATACATCAAATAGAAAACAGAGGTTTCGGATTGGTCGAAAGTTCCCATATTTTTTAGCTTTTTGCGACCAATTCCAATTGATTTTGAAACCTGTGTTTTACAACAGACAAAACTTAAGAATAGCTTCGGAAAGAACATTCAAAACTGATCATAACTAGCATGAAGAATCACTAGAAGTTCGGTAATTCTCACTATTGGACATGTGTTTTTGTAAACAAGGATGAAGCAATTCCTTGAATTTTTAATTATCAGTTGTGATCAATTTTGAACGTTCTTTTTAAAGCTATTCTTAGATTTTGTCTAGTGCAAAATACAGGTATCAAAATCATTTGGAATTGATTGGAAAAAAACTAAACACTAAAAAATGCGAATTTTCAATCAGTTTCAAGACCTTCGTTTTGTATTTCATGAAGTTTGACTACAGCTTCAGAGAAAGCAAAAACAAATAATTATGATTGATATAAACAATCTACAGGAGCTACATTTTTAATAAGGAAAAAAAATATCATCTTTGACATAATGTAGTAGAAATTGGTACATCTCTATTCCGATTACTTCATGTTATAACATTGATAGATAGAGGACGGCTTGTAAACTCGGTAAGTGATAGATAGTAAAGAACAATGTGTGTCAACAGTTGTTGAATGATTTTGATAATCACAAAGAGAAACTATTGAATCAAGAGATACGAATGATAAAGAAAACTTGATTTTCGATATGATCATGGTTTTGTATTGACTGTGTCAAAGATGAATCTCTCAATCTATTTTTTTTTAAATAGTAATCTGAAACGTTATTCAATTGGAGCAACATCTTATTGTATATTTTGTTTTCTGCAGGTGTAGAAAATGAGTTTCATTAAATAATTGTGTCATGATTTCTATTCGAGATCACTGAACAACATAAGAAATTATAGCAAAATTACGGATTGCTAATTTCTGATTGACTTAAAAGGAAAAAAATTCAAGAACTTTGAAAATAATGATTATATGTTGGACAAGAAATTAATCCATTATTTGAAAGCAAAGACACTTCAATAGTTTATTGTTGAAAGAAAAATCGATGTTGACAATAGATTCATTTTAACCTTTAAAATTGACTTCATATTCATTAAATTTTGATAATTTGAAACAAACAATTGGAACCATCGAATTTTGTGACAGACGATCTAAAAGGAGTGTTGAGGTAAATAGGGTAGAAATTTGCCTCTTCCCCTACCCTCCAACAGCCCGTTCTAGTTGTCTCATATCAATTGCATAATAATATCCTTAAAATCCTATAGTAACAAATTTACACAAAAGAGTAAACAACCGACAGTTTAATATTATCATGAAATGATAAAACATAATAGTTTAAATCAATCAAACAGAATCTATTACTAAGATTTCAAACAAATCATACACATCATGCTTCATTAAAATCTTTAAACTTTTTATGAAAACGTAGAAATCAAAAGCCTTTCATCTTATTTTCTAATCATAGTCAACAGTATTTTATTCAAACAACAGAAATTAAATCGTATTATTTCAATTATGATCATTTCGTTAAAATAAATCGATTTAGTAACATATATGTTTATCTATAACGAAAAAAGTTTGTTTGAAAAGAATGATTAAAATTATCTGAATAGCATTATGTATATCTCGAAGCTTTACACCTTATGAAAAAAAAAAATGATGATAATCTCATCATCTCTCATAACGTATGTGATAATTCTATCAAGAAATATAAATATACTTTTGAAATTTTTCATGATTAACTAATTACAATAAAACAATTGGAATGATTGTTATTTTTAACAGTTAGGAAATTTAACACTGTACATTAATTTTAAATGCAAAACTCATTTGAGCACATACACAAATAAAAATTTTCCCTAGAATTCATAGCTCATAGTTGTTTTCATTCATATGTACATACATACATATATATATATGTCTAAAGGCTAACCGGCATCAAATCATTGATCTATATGTGTACAGATTGTTTTATCGGCTCACTTTATATTTGTACAGAAGCGAAAAGAAAGTAATCACACGCTAGATTGATGAATATTTTATACGTTAAAAGACATATTGAAAATCTTCTCATCGAAAAACAAAGCAATTTTTTTGTTTATTCCAAAGTAGAAGAAATAAAAAAAAAAGGATGTATGCAATTGTTTGTAATTGATTGTTCACAAGAGAAAATACAAGTTAAATCAAGTGGAACTTAATCAGAATTGATTCATCTATCATTTTATGACATAAACTAAATATTGCTTGTCTTAATTTGCTTCTGTTCGTCATTCTTTTAGATATTTCTTTTTAGTTTTTTTCTTTTTCTTCTTTCGTTCTTCGATGACCGACAGAGACAGAAGAAAAAAGAGAAATGGACGAACAAGAACGACGACGGCACTCTTCATATATAGACAACATATACAACTTCATTTCTTCTCTCTTCGTTCACTTGTTTTCAAAAAAAATTGACAACTTGATATATACTGAAGTAGTCAGGTATGCTATGCAGGCAATTTCAATTTTCATTGTGCTTTTATTCTAATTGAATAACAGTCATGTGTGTATATAGTTGTTTTCAAATAGATCCCTATCTTGTGTAATAAAAAGAACAACATCTCATTTTTCAAATTAATCCTTTATAAGATGAAAAATGAATTTCTATTTTAGAATGTTTTATATTCTATTAATTACTAATATTCTATTAACTATAAATGGAATATCAATTAATATAATTGAAAAAGATTTAAATAATACAATTGAAAAAATTCTTTTAATAAATAATAATTTATTTATTGGTACAAATAATATTCTACATCGTTTATCATCAAAAACATTAAATAAAAATTTATTTTCATTAAAACTTGGTCCACAATTTGATAATTCATATTGTCGTTCATGTAATGATTTTCGACAAATAGATTATCATTTTAAAATTTTATTATTAATAAATAATAAAAAAAATCATTTACTTTTATGTGGTACAATATATCAAGGTATATGTCAAATTATTGATGAAAATTTTAATTTTATTATTAATTCAACATTACCAATTGTTGCTAATGATCAAATAAATAGTACAATTGGATTAATTATACCAGAAAAAAATCTTATCTATTTTGGTGTTACATATACAAATGATGGTGTTTATCGTTGGCAAATTCCAAATATATCAGGACGTTCATTAAATATAACAAATTTTATGAAAATTTTATCAAGTAATGATGATGATACAATATATCGTGATGATTTATCACTTCGTTTTATGCCAAGACAACAAACAACATTTATTGTTCAATATATATATACATTTTATACAAAAAATTATATTTATTTTATAACAAATCAACCAAATGATATTGATCAAACAACTATAATAACAAAAATAATACGTTTTTGTCGAAATAGTTCAAATTCAATAATACGTACATATAGTGAAATTCCATTAATTTGTTTTAATTCCGATTGGATTATTAAATCAGCTCAAACAATTATTGATATTAATAATAATAATCAAATGATTTTAATTGGACTTTTTATAAAACGTGATGGATCAAATGGAACAAATATTTGTTCATGGAAAATTCAAAATGATATTGATAAAGCTTTTCAAGATAATTATAAAAATTGCTATACAATGGGTATTGGACAACGTGGATTAAATTTTATTAAACCAAATGAACCTTGTAGAAAAGATGAAGTAACAAAAAAAAGCAACAATTGAAAAGTTTTTTTTTACATCAAAGATTTTATTCTAGAGTTGGTCAATAGGAATAACGAATGATAATGATTTATGTCCATGGATAATTAGTGATCGTTTACCATATCCAGTCGGTGGAATAATTCCTATAATTGGTCGTCTTTTTTATGAGAATTCATTTGAGAGTTCTAGCGCCTTGCAGCTGCATCCACTCGGTTCATCAATTCTTTTTTTACAAGGATTAACCAATGGCACTTTCAAGTTGGTAAGTGTTTCATCCATCAAATCAAAACACATTCCATTTTAATGAAGAGACACTCATATATATATATATGCACTCCTTTCTCCTGCAGGGTGTCTACGATACAATTTGTATTGTTTGAATATTAAGAGGAGAAAGAAAAAAGGAACCCCCTGAAGACATTGTTTCTGTTCATTTTGGTTTCACTTAAAATAATGTAGGTTGAATATGTGGATAGGAAAATATTGACAAAAGGTCAAATGACGCGATTAAAGACATGACATCTGTCTTTGTCGCATATTCATTCATTTGATCAAACAAGAAGAAGAAAAAAAAGTCATGTTTCGTTTATACAGATGTTCGATATTTATTTTTTCTAGGGAATATTTGATTTTCTATTGAATATAAATTGGATATATTCATATCAATTATCAACACAATTACCAATTCTATCGAATATTTTATTTGATAATCATACAGCAAGTTACTTTTTAGCTTCAGGAACAAAGGTTTGAATAAAACTTTTTTTGTAAAATAAAAATCTATTAAAATAATGTTCTATAGATTTATCGTTTATCATTTGCTGGTGATTGTGCATCACATTTGTCATGCGATGAATGTTTGTCTTCATCAAATAACGTTTTTTGTGGGTGGTGTTCGACAACTGAACGGTAATATAGATAGTTTATAGTTAGCAATTAAAACGAGCTGTTCTCAATAGTTAAACACCCATTGTGACATTGTCTATCAATGATACTATTAAAAGAGGAAAGTGTCACATATATATATAGCCGCAGCGGGTGCTTATAATACTAATTGCTAAATGACCGAAATGGTTAATTCCGCTTCGGTATGTTTTATGTAATCAGATGAAAAGATAAAAATAAAAAGAGACTAAAATGAACCATCTGTTCTTTATAACATTAATAATTAATATAACAGAAAATATTAATAAATAAAAAATTTTTGTCTAGACTAATTGAAAAATGTTAACTATATATCTGTTTAATAGATGTACAATATCAAATGATTGTCCTACTAAATCTTGGCGACAAGAAAATAATCAATGTATACATATTATCAATGTTCAACCATTGAATGCTTCTATTGATCAGAGTCAATGGGTTTGTCTTTTTTTTTTTTAATTAATTTTCATATGTTCATGTTTTTATTTTTTTTTATCTATTATCAGATAAATCTAACTCTATCGAAATTACCACAATTAGAACATAATGAAATTTATCAATGTATTTTTAGTAATAAAATAGTATCAGCAAGTACACAGGCTATTAAGTTAGATTATAATCGGCTTTCGTGTCCTACACCATCAAATCATTATAGAAAAGAAAATATTCATTTACAAATAGGTAAGATTAGTTTTTTTGTTTTTTTTTTGATAAAAACATGCAAAGCAACAATTTAATTTGATTTTTATCGAAAGAGAATGAGAAAAGACATCTTGTTTTATTTCTATGATATTGATCTATTCAAAAAACAAACATTTATTAATGAAGATAAAAAATAGTTCACTAAAAGAAAAATAATATTGATTGATTGAAATGAAAAAATTACAAAAAAGATCAATCTCTTCACTTCGGTAAAATGAATTAATGTAGTTTAACGTCTTATATATATTTATAGAAAATCCTTCATTGAATTTTGCATAATCTTAATATTTATTTCACCTTGAAATGTAGTCTTTGTAATAGATTCTATCAGGATGAATACGAAATTGGTTCTTTGAAAAGTTTCATTATGAACATCAATTTTTTATTTCATTTACACTTGAGTGTATAATGAAGATTCTTTTTCTTTTCTCATGAAACTATGTGTTAGACGTGCCCTTCGGTATTATTTTTATTTTTATTGTGTAGAAGAATATTGATAAAAACTACACTTCATCTTCATCAAGAAATCATATTAAGCACTTCTCTTCGAGCAGCCTTTTTTTAGATAGAGTTAACGGTTGTTTTTTTCATTCAATCTTGGCCCACGCACTCTATTACATTACTCAAAAATATATTTCAAGCATTAAATAAACAGTATTCGACATAGGTGAAATTTTTGTGATCCGACCTGAGGTATGATATGACCGAATTCAAGTCGAACTCTAGTATCGACTATTTTTCTTTTTCGCTTGAGAAAATCAATATCTCAATCCTTTTTTTCTTCTTTTCATTTCGTAATTGGGACAACATAATTATGTAAGAGAATTTTTTTTTGTTTATCTTACTTTTCTTATGTATACAACTTGCAAGCTTTTATATCAGCCTTGAACAGGACAGTGCACTCGCTATGCATCATTGTCCAATGTCAATAAAGAAAAATCGATGAAGTAGAAGAGAACATCCTGCAATGCATAAAAAAAACCTTCAAAATGTCTTTTGTATTTTTTAAATATTTAGACTGTAGATTCACTCCGAAGTCTAAAAATATTTTCATAATCCGACCCAAAATCGGACACTGTTCCACAGATAAATCGTTATATTTGTGTATATATATATAGTAACTATTCTCTTCAGCGCAAAGTTCTGAATAACAAATAAATTGATCAAACGACTAACATTATTTGATATATTTTTTTAATTCAAATACAAAAAGAAAGCAATGTTTTTTCATTTCAATAGGAAATGAATCAAAAGTACGTTTATCAATAGTAAAATGGCCATCAAATACAAGTATTGCAACAATACCTGAATTTATATTTTATGATTGTTCATCATATTCATCATGTGAATCATGTCGATCACAAATAGGATGTCAATGGTGTTCTGATCGATGTTCATCAATATGTACTGAAAAAACCATCCAACAATGTCCATCATTTGATCTTATTGATACTTCAAATATATTTATTGAATCTGGTAAATCAATTGATATTCCTTTAAAATTTTATAATACAATAAAATTTTCACTTGAATGTCGTTTAAATGAAACAATATTTGGTTTTATTGATCAAAATTATATTTGTCATATATCAAAAATTCCTGAATTAACAAATGAAAATGATCAAATAGTATATTTATCTATATATGAAAATAATATATCAATAGGTATTCCAATAAAAATGTTTATTTATCGATGTGATTTATATGATACATGTGATAAATGTCAATCACGTTTAACATGTTCATGGTGTCAAGGTAAATGTTTATCAAAACAAGATAAACAATGTTTAATTAATTCACAATGTACTTCATTAAAAATAAAAGATTTTTCACCAAAAAAACTTCCACTTTATGGTGAAACACTTGTAATTATTTATTTAAATGAATTAATAAATGATAAAATACTTGAAATAACACTTGCTGATATTCCTTGTTTAATTATAAAATCAACAAATCGAATTGAATGTCAATCAAATAAATCAAATTCATCGCGGCATGGTCCAATTAAAATTCATTTTCAAAATTCAATTATACTTTATTCACAAGAATTTATTCAATATTGTCAATCATCAATAAATTCTTTTAATCCAATGATTGTTTATGAATTTGGTGGACAAATTCTTTATATAACAGGAAATAATTTAATTATTGGTAATTATCAACAAATATTTATTGGAAATTTTCAATGTCTTCTAATAAAACAAACAATAACAAATGTTTTAACATGTCGTTTACCATCGATATTATCAGGATCTTATAATATTACTGTTATTATTGATAATAAAACTATTCTAAATAATGGAAATATTTTAAAAGTAACACCAAATCCAATTGTTCAAGATATTAATCCAATAATTAGTTTTGCAAGGTAAAAAAATCTTTCAATAAAGTCTTTTTGTGAAATTCATCTATCTGCGATTTGTAAATATTAAGCCAAAGTTTTGTGACTCCGTTTCATAACGAACAAACTTTTTTCTTAGAATTTTTTTTTGTTTTTTGTAGTGGTGGTCGATTAATAACTGTTCGTGGAATGTATTTTTCATCTGCACAATCAATTATTGCAGAATTTTCTTACAAACAATGGAATGCAAAATTAAAGGTTGTTTTTTAATAGTAAATTTTTTTTAATCTATAAATATATTTTCTTTTTTTTTTTCGTAAAGATAATTTCAAATGATATAATATCATCAAATAATGGAATGAAATCATCATTTAGTTTTCGTACACCAGAAATTCCTTCACCATCAAATGAATTTAATTCACCACCAATTGATATTGATTTTTCACTTCATTTTGATGATTTAATTATATTACCAAATTTAATTCAATTTCATTATCTACCAGATATTGTATTAAATATTTCATCAAACCCTCCAACATTACCATATACAGGTGAAGAACTTAAATTACACGTAGAAAATTTAACTGAAGCATTATCAATGGAAGATATTCAATTATTAATTGGTTGTAACGAATGTAAACTAAAAACATTTACATCAAAAGGAATTACATGTCAACCACCAACACAATTATTAATAAATACACCTTTACTTCTTAATAATCAACATGATCAAGGTTTGTTTTTATTCTTAAAAATGAAAAATAATATCATAGATTGATTAGACTTGAGAATAATATTACATTGATGTAACCTAAAAAAAAGTATATTTTCAAATATCGAACTTGATTTCTTATTTTATCCTATTGAACTAACGAGAGAAGGTCTTTAAGTGATCCATCGCTTTTAAGTCTATGTAGGCCATAATGAGTTATGAATACCTTGAAAAGAGTTCGAACCCATAGCTTACTGCTGTTGAGATACTACATTTTGATGGTATTTTCTAAGCATAGTACTGTGGTCCCCGTCAGAAACGTCAGACAAACTTTGTTTGGAATTTCGACTTGAAACTTTGTATAGTGACAAGTCTCAATGAGAATAGTTTATTGTGAAAGTTTCAGATCTTCTGATCGCTTCTGTATTGAAATAAGAACCTTGGAATCGATTAGTGTGCATAAGCACGCTTTTATCATAACTGTATCCTAGAATAGGAACAACCAAGAGATATAAACTATTCTCATTGAGATCTGCCACTATACAAAGTTTCAAATCAAAATTCCAAACTCAGTTTTTCTGAAGTTCCTTAGGGGAACCACGGCACTGTGCTTATAAAATATCATAAAAATGCAGTATCTCAACAGCAATAAGATATGGGTTCGAACTCTTTTCAAGGTATTCATAACTCATTATGATCTACATAGACTTAAAAGCGATGGATCACTTGGAGAACTTTCCTTGTAAGATAAATGGAAATAATTTTGGTCTTATAGTTTTTATCGGATCAGATATTTTCATTTCAGATAAAATCGCTTAATAGAGGATTTGCTACGCTACGTTTTCCATATAATTTATCGGTTTTGCAACATTCTATATGAAAGTATAGTTCGGTTTTTCGACTACAATCTTCAATTATGAAAAATCGGTGATTGCACACGATGTTATCTGAAGTGTTCGTATCGACTTGCTATACAACACATAAAATATTTCAAATTGTATTTCAGCAATACTACTCTATCCTTATGCTATAAAACTTGATAATAGACGAATAATAAAAGAATCTTTCTTATGAAGTGAAGTTTTTTGTAAGTTCAAAAAAAAAGTAGTGAAACAGTTTTCCAGTATCTATGTAACCGTTAGTAGGTTAAAGATTAAAACTATTTTGTTCTATTCAATCGATGTCGTATGTTTAACAATATGTGATTACATCTCTCAGCATATGAAATTTATTGGTTTTCATAAAGAAAAATTACATAGTTCACAAATTTATTAATTTAACAGATTGTAAAGGTTTAAGATTTGAAACTATTTTCTTTCTAGTTGCTTGTACATTATATAATACATCAATTGGTCCAATTCGTTTTCGTATTGGTGTTCATAATCATTTAATTGGTTATTTATCATACATTCGTTCATCATCATCATCATCATCATCACGATATTCTGTTACTAAAATAATTTCTTTATCATTAGCAAGTTGTCTTTTAACAATTTCTTTACTTACATTAAGTCGTTTTTCATATATTAAATTACGAAAACCAAAAGAAAAATCTTCTTCATTATCTCCAATAAAATCTAATGAACAAAATGATAGAGCTTTTTGGTCAACAACAACATCAGCTATTGCTGGTCCTTATTATCAAGTATATGAACAAATTCCATCATCATCATCTCATCAAAATACATTAGCACGTGCTCCATTACTTGTTTGCCCATATCATCATCATTATAAACAAGAATATTCAACATTATCATTAATGCAACAATTAGAAATCAATATACCATTTTTAACTACTATATCAGTTGAACATGAACAATTGAAAAAATTAATATTCACATCCGATAATATGTAAGTCTTTTTTGAGTTTATTTAATTTAATGATTGAATTCGATAAACTAGAATTGATTTTGTAAAACATGTTCTAAAAGGATTGTTGAAGTATAGAGATAGAAGTTTCGTGACCGAAATTATTGATATACGATCTACGATCGTATATCAATAACGTCTCATTATAATATATAAACTACCTATTGCATTTTTCGAGGATTAAGTAAAATGTTTTGACATTTTTAATTTCGCAGGGGTTGTGCTAACAGCTTTTAATCGATTAGAATAATTTTTTTCTATTTACTAATCTTTTATTAGTTTAAATTGAAAAATATCGTATGCTTTTGAAAAACAATATGTGTTTTAAATTGATCTAAAGTTCTTATATTAGAAATTCTCATAGAATTCTGATTATTATTCCCATATGATTCAAATAAGAGATTGCATTAGACGTGTGATGTCACGTTCGAATGCTGGTTTTTTTTATGATCTATTCTCAAAATTTAATTTAAAATTTGCAAAACTTTAAGGAATATTATGCAAAGAAAGAAAACGATGAGTTTATGAGACTATACATTCTATAATATAAAGAATAAAACTAGGTCGTAACATTTGATTCACAACTTTATCATGAATAAAGTCACAAGAGTGATTTTTTAATGTATATTTGAATTCGAATTCAAAATAGATTTAAACATATCCATTAATAATTTAACGAACCTTTACTAATTTGGATAAATCTCATAATGCATTTTTTTTTATCACAATCGCCTTTCTTTTGCGACAAAGGATTCATCTTACATCGATATTTAAGATTTTCAACTGAGACATTTATCCGAAATCTTCATAAGAAATAGAGAAGGAATCGTTGCGGTTCCAGAAAAACATAAGCTAATCCCATCTCTTATAAAAAAAAATGAAAAAGAAATAATTTGTTTCTTCTTATAATAATAGATATAATTCATCAAATCATTATCAATCAATGGAATTATTTTATGATTTACTTGGAATGACACCATTTTCTGAAGCTTTTATTGATCAATTAATAGTAAATAATTGTAATGATCTATGTAAATATTATGGATATATATTTCGTTATAATCCATTAAATTTAAAATCATTTCCATTAACACGTGAAATATCATTTATTAAATTAATTTCAATATTTTTATTTCAATCAAAAAACGATTTATGTGAATTATTTTCTTTATTTGATAAATTAATAAATTCATTAATTGATTTAATTGATTGTGGACCATGTGATCAATTATTAAATCGTTCAATAAATTCAATATCATCATCAACATTATTATTATTATTAAATATTGATTATAATTGTTTAGAATTATTAATTAATTATGAAAATTTAATACGTTTTCATCTTCCTGTACTTGATTGTGATACAATGGATCAAATAAAACAAAAAATAAATCATTATTTAAATACTTATGAAAACATTTCTCATGAAGAAATTGATTTAATTATTCCATCATTAAATATTTGTTCATGTAATCATCAAATTCCAATATTAAAACAATATACAATAAATTCAACAATATTATGTCGAAAAAAATCATCATGGAATTATTTTTCAGAAAAAAAAAGAGAAAAAAATTTTTTTTTATATCATTTATGTACAGAAAATCAATTAATTAAAGATAAAAATTTAATTAATAATAAATTAAAAGAAAATAAAAAACGTTTACAAAAAATTCTAAATAATTTTTATGAAGAAATTTTAAATGGTTTTAAAATTTTTTCAATATGGGAAAAACAAATTAATGAAAAAAATCAAAATAATTTATTTAAACAATATATTCAATTAGTTAGTGATCTTATTCGACGATTAAATAGATTAATGATATGTCGATCAACATGTCCTATTATACAATCATGTTTAAATGTTATTGCAGATGGTTTAGAATTTATTTTTCAGACTAAAACTGAAGTAAAATTTCAATAAATCATTGGTTTATTTTTATTGTTTAATAATCATTTTATTTTTTTATAGTTTTCATCGGAAATTGAATTATTATTTGAAGATGATAGAAAATATTTTGCTTCATTTGATACGAATCTATTTAAAATTCCTTCATATTCTCTAATTGATTCATTACCATCAACATTAGATATTCGATCATTAATACTTACTGATCATACATCAATGGAATGTCTTTTTAAACTTTATCAATTTTATGAATTACATAGTGAACCGGTAAGTTTATTCTATCATTTGTTTTTCGTTGATATGTATAGAAGTACATTGGGTAAAAATTGAGAATCACTTCTCCTCTCTTACAGACTATGACAGACACTCTAGGAACCCATTACAAATCGTGCGAAACGTTGTTAATATTTGATCAAAGATCGTATGTCTATAACGTTTCGTTCTACTACTTATTGAATTTCTGAAGGATCAAGTAAAAAGACCATGAACATATGTGTCCGAAAATAGATAGAATAAATCAATCTTCCTGTGATGAGGAATAGCAGCTCCATCGTGTTTCGTATTTTAATCCCACGGAGATTGTACTAATCGATTTTTTTTTAAATAGATAAATCAACATATTGGAGAAAATCATGTCAGTGTTTTATTACCTGTTCATCATCTTCTTGTACAAATTCGTCAATTAATTAATTCAGATTCAATTCGAACTAATACAACAATTATTTGAATGTCTAGAGCAATTTATGTATGAAGAGTATTTTTTGCCAAAATTTTGTGATTTCATTAAGAATTAAATTTTCTTTTTTTCTTGTTTGTTCGTTTTCTTTTTGTATTAAATATATTAAAAGAAAAATAAACATTTCTTACATTGACATTATTCAACGCTTTCATTTTCAATTTATAGTGATTATCTTGAATATTATAAGTTGTCTAATTTAAAGATAAAATAATTTTTAATATTTTTTTTTTTATCAAAACAGAACTTATTTACTTGTTTGAATATTTCTGTTCTTATTATATGAATAAGTGATTAATCTAATTGGATATTCAATAAGAGTTTATCGTGTAAAATTCAAACAAAATTTGTTTTATCGATCTACAATGTGTCACGAAGATATGGAGAAAAAGGAAACGAACAGCGAACTCAATTCTATCAAGATATTTTTAATTGTTTCAACAACAAAAAAACAGATACAGACTCGTATTTTTAAAATATGTCAAAGTATTGGGATGTACTGAAAAATATTTCCAAATAGTAGAAAATACACAAAATTCTAAGATATTTTTGATGGAATTAATATAGTTATTGAATAAAATATGATAAGAAAAATCATTGAAAAAAGAACTAATATCAGTATTATTCTTGTTCGTTTCTTCTCAAGGCTATAATATACGTTGACTGTTGTTGTAAGAGTCTAAAACGAAAATATCATGTTCTTGTTGTAATAATTGAATATTAAACAAGATTAATGGCCGTATAAGGATAGACGATTCCGATAGTAAAAAAATTGAAGTCTGCGGATTCTGATTCTAAGTTACAAGAATATTGAGATCGGAAGTATTTCATGGAAGGTAATAAAATTTTTCTTCAACTTCCTACAAAGGGTTAAATTAATTGTTCACAAATTTATTTAAATAATATTTATAAAAAAAGAGTACTATTTCTTCTCAAAAAAAAAAGATACAATTCAATTGAAGAGTACATATGTTTTTATTTACAATTGCTTGTTTTTAAGCATATTTGCAAAAGTTTTAAAAAGTAGTCAGTTTGAAAATTTCATTTACCATCTCGACAATATTATTTTTGTCGTAATCCAAAAGATTCTTACAATTTCTGTTCATTCCTGATTTATTGTTGAATGTTGATGATGTTGTCTTTGTAATTAGGAATGAACGATTCCGATCCGAAAAAAACTTACACTTGCCAATCTCGATACGATTCCCATTCCAAAAAAAAAATCGATTTTGTCCATGTCTAATCCTATTTGATTGATATCAAAAGGTAGTGAGCACATGAAAAAAAGTACAATCAAGAATAGCTGCATTTGTATTCAGAAAGATCTATCAATTTTCTCTTACTTGATTGTTATAGAATATTTTGATTTTACTTTAGTCTTTTTTTCAATATAAATTTTATGACATCGTGTACACGGTCTATATTAACATAAATCAGTAGTTAACAAAAATTATTGACATATTCTGTAGTACAACACATCGACAACTATTTTCTGCGCTATAAATAGTATTTAAAAAATATGAATTACATATTTGTATCATTTTTTGTACCAAGATTAATGAATATGGATATTAGAAATTCGTAGTATTGCAGAGAAATAACATAAGAAGATTTGATGAAGGAAATCCTTCTGATGTTTGATTATTATGAAAAAGATATCAAATGTAATCGTTTTTTCTACCTGTTTAAAACAATAAGCGATCATAATTATCAATATGAAGCTACCACAAAGGTTCATAGGAAAATACCTATAAACTTTCAACCCAATTAATTACATAATTTACTCATTGGAATCTAAAAACTTTGCGAGTCATAAAAAACACTCACTACCAAACCAAAAATTCATTGTAAACCGAAACATCATCCTATCGATGAAATTCATCCCTTATCGTTAATTTTACGGATGCGTTTGAATCCATCACTCCATCGCTTGGTTGAAGCATCTTTATTACATCAATCCATGAAGTATTTGATCCTCTATTAGAAGTCTAAACTATTATCTCTCGGCATACATATGTCATCTCCTTTTGAAAATTCTTTATAACTCCCATGCACTCGTTTGTCGAGAGAGGATGAAGTGATCGATGAACAACATACATGATTCTGCATTGATAGATATGAGATTCATGCTCCGACAAATGACAGAACCCTTAAGAATGCCAATATAGTGGATTTGGTTATGTTGCAAATAAGATTATTAATTTATTCTGTTGATATATGCTTTCTTAGAGGTATTTTTCGCGGGGAGTCTGTGTGGCTGATATGTCTGCTGTTTCTGTGTTTATCGATGTCGGTGAAAAGCTACCGTGTTGCTCGACTCGCTTATGTGCACCCTCTATGAAGCTTATTTATTGGTTTGCACAAGGCATCTAATGGAATTGCAATTGCGATCTTCGTGATCGACAATGTGTGGTTGCTTGACATCGATATCATCATACTTCCATCGTACATTACGATATTGAAACTATTTCTTTTTATCATTTGTAAATACCTTAGATAAAAATATGTTTCGAGGAAGAAAAACTTCAAAAGAGGAACAATGGTATCGAGCTTATAAATGTGTACCAAACGCAATTTTACGCTGTAGCCATGGCATGGATCCTAATTGTGAATGTGTAAAACACTATGGTATAGTCAAAGAATATCCATTCACTAAACGAGAAGTGATGGTTGAAGCAGCATCATTGGAACTTAATAGAATGGAACGGTTGGATATACACGATAATCGAAAACATGATCTGCTTAACCAAATAAAGCAGTGTGACGTAGATAGGGAAGGTAACTATATTGAAGAATATCAATCCATTTATGGTCCTCTTTTGTCGGTAAATATAATCAAGGACGATAAAACTAATTCACGAATTTTCCAAACCATATTTATTATATTAATCATATTAATAATGGTTTTTTTATTATATTGCTATCTATGATAAACTCAAACGAGTACATTTATTGAACACTTACGCGCAGAAGTAGACTTCTTTGTATTTATTGATTATCATATAACAAATCAAGAATTGTCGAATTATTTAATAGAAATGACATAAATTAAAATTTAGATATTATATTTGGTAATAAAAGATTTAGAAATGTTTGAGTTTTTTAAACAAAAAAGAAGAGTTGAATCTTGTTCAACATTCAAAGTTTCACTATTTTTCAAAGATACTATTAATTTTATGCATCAATGCCTTGTCGGAACGACTTTTCATAATTCCCATTTTTCTATCTTTAATTTTGGCTTCGTTTTTTACATTCGAAGTGAAATTGTGACTATCATATACTATCTTCTCGTGACATTACTTTTTATGCAATATGGTATAGTTGGCGAAGTATATAAAAATAAAAAAGCTATTACATGAATATGTTTTTATATATATAGAAGTAAGACAAATTATTTATTGGAGGACACCAATATTTTTTGTCTTTTCCGTTCTTGTGAAAAATAGGACATGAAAAATATGAATTACAAAATATTTTTGCAGAAGACTTATTCATATGAGTCTAAAAAAGTTTTTCAGTCAACAAATATTGTTGACAGCATATTCATTAAGTATTAAATAAAAATAATCAGTACAAAGAATAAATCTGTTTCACAAAAATGAACTGGATTTTCAATGATTAGTTCGATTCAATCATACTAAATTGATGTAAACATTTTGTATCTATTGATATATTAACTGATATTAATGGGTAATTTGATTGGTTATTTTCAATATACAACCTGAAAATCGAAATTTCATTTACAATTATATTGAAGATTGTGAACGAATGGAATATGTTTATTTTAGAAGATTAGTTGAATAATAAATCACAACAAATTATAGATTCTTCCTGCAAAAAAGATTAACAGCATCGCCAATCATATATGAATGAAGTAAACCAATATGATACGGAAAACATACATAGAAACTCATTATACAATTAAGTTTATATTAAGCATTATTAGTCCCATGACCATTTCGGTCCTAAAGGGACAATAGCGTTCGTGGATCGTTTATATCCGTAATGAATTGAGATGGAATAAAATAGCAGGAAGACAAAATAAAATAAGCAAAAGAAATAAAAAGAACAAACGAAACGGACACGCAAAAAAAAGAACACAAAAGAAGAAAAAAAAAAGTAAAGTATGCCTCTCTACTCTTCCTCTGTGTTATTCTTCTATTCTTCTTTATTTTTGTCAGTGTGACCTGTGAACAGCTATTACTAGAATCTACTACCTAAAACTTTCCAGAAATAAAGTAAACCATAAGAATTTTTCTTTATTGCGTGCAACAACTGAATCTGAAGTTCCATATGTTATCATCTGTCTAAACATTTGTCCTAGTATATTCATGTAAGATACAAATCTTTTCGATTTGTAAAGACGGCGAATTCGTTCCGCTCGTCCTTGCCATTCGGTCCTGTGCACGTTCAGCTCAGATTGTTCTAATAGCAGGAAACCATCTTTAGACTTCGACAGGGTCTTTGCATATTATACAATTATGTTTATACGAAAGCTTACATGGAAATAACACTTATTAAACATTAGTTTGTTTTTGATGACGTGAATGTTGCATATTCAAAATGATCGAGAAAAGTGCTAGTTGCTCAAACAGGTAAATTCTTGAAGAGGATAAAGTTCGAAAAAAAAACAATCTCGAATCTGTAAAATCATACAATATGAGAAGTCAGAAACGAAAATCTCGAAAGTATAAAATATAAAAGTAATTCGAATAGTTCGTAGATACGTGATTTATTAATTATAAATTTGTTGAAGGATAATAAGAATTTAGGAATTTAGCGTGTACGTATACAATATTGACTGTGATGTGGTGTTTTATCACTTTAGCTCGAGAGAAAAGTCAACACAAAAGAAAAAACAATCAGTATTGATTTGAGAATCATTTTTTCGCTTTCATATCTTTTGCAACAAGTAATGAGAAACTTTGAAGGTATGCATCTAAATAAATTTCCACATTTTGAAATATTGTCGATTAGAGTGTGGGCATGGGTATCGGGTACGAGTCAACTCATGGCTCATACCCAGTCTCATCCACGTCCACACCTAAGAATGACTCATCAGTTAGCAATGCTCGTGTGAACGATTTCAATGGCAGTAGATGACTTTCAGCAGTAAATCTGTGTTATTGGCTGTTTTACGAACTTTCGAGATTATTATTTTTCGATATTTTATCCTTCGATCTTATCCCTTTCGAGTAATTAACACTCCCAAAATTCAAATGTTGTTGATGAATTTTTGCATATTCATATTAAAAATCAATTCATATATATTTATTTCAAAATTTAAAAGTCAAACAACTTTTTGTATAATCAAATACATTCTAATTCGATATGGTCGAGTCACAAAAGAGAACACGCACGCCTATGCTCTCATATCAGAAAAATGCATATATTTAATTGATGCATTAGATTGTTACCTTATATATTCTTTGACACCAAATGTATTGAAAGAATGATCAATATTGCAAATGTGCATTTTTATAATTGCAATGATAATATGAATTATAACATTGAAAAAAAAATTTTGCTCAAGCGTGACAATTATTGATTGGCTAGTATTTAAACATGTGTTACACATATCAAAACATTTTCATAATTTTTTATGGAATATAGACAATCAGTTAATATGTGGAAGGAGTACATTTAAGATATAAATACGTATTAACATTTCTCTTCTCATATATTTAGATTATTATTGCCTCTTCATTGTTATGTATTCTTATCATATACAAAATAATAACAATCTTTAGAGGTCGTCATCATCACTGTGAAAAGGATAAGGATTTATTTAAAATCTAATATACGTGGTAAATTTTAGGTCGTCATAGTAGATTGGGTGGTTATACAAGAAGTTTTGTTTCATCATATGGCTATAGCTCTTGTGAAGATGGTATGAGCGAAAGACCATTCGTTTAGTTTTATATTTGATTTCTATCAAGATATATACTGTTTTTACAATTTAATAATACAATACTATTTTGTTTTGTTCAGAGCATTCGATGATATTGATTATTTAATCAACAAACATTCTCTTCTGACTTTTATAGGAATCAGCGTTGTGTTTTACGCAAAATACAAAGAAATGTATTCCATCGGATACTATTCTTTAAAAACAAATGTAATGCTATTTTATGATCGATGTATCATTTATTATTGATTTATAGATTCTTTGAAATAATAATGCACCATTATTTCTTGTCCTTGTCATTTCTAGCATCAATTAGTTCTTCGATTTATATATCTAGTTTTAATTACGTAGTATCTCAAAAAAAAAAGATTTTTATTATTATGTAAACATGTGGTCGCACATTAATGTTTTTCTTCCATTTGTCAAATAAATTTTCTTTATATGAGCGTAGATATTTTTGCAAAAAGATTTTAGAATACAAAAAAAAAGAAACCAATTACTTAAGCATATTTGTTTCAATATGATATCCTAAGAAACTGTTCTCAAGAAAATAATCTATATTATTCTTTAATTTAGATTATTTGATCTTTATCTGAGTTAAGAAAAAGTAGATAAAAGTAAAAAACCTCAGCTCTAACTGTTAGTCTGAAATACATATGTTAACACGAGAAATCATTGAATAATGTATTATTAATTTTTTTCTTATTTTATACTTGATGGATCTATGTATTATTTAAAGACAAGTTTTTGTTTGTTATTGAGTATTCATTTGTACTTTTCTCTTCTTCCTAGGTTGTTGTTGGCAAATATTTTTTTTAATCAAAAACACAGTCCGACGTGTTCTTTAACATTGTTTAGATCGGAAGAAAAAAAAATTCATTTTTTTCTTTTAATATAAAAATACCTTTTCTCTGGTTGTAATGAAGAATAATTTGTAAACTGTTTTTATAAAAAGATTTACAATGATGAAAATTGGTTAAAACAATGTTTAAATTAAAATTTTTGACAAGTCAATTATTAAACTAGACCTACTTGAATAGAACGCTGATATACTAGAGATTGTATAACTCACTATTTCTCCAATAAGTTTACATTTAGAATATTTTTTAGTCTATGGTTGATTTTGAAAAAATTCTTTCGCATGAAAAATGTATTTTACAAAACTTGAAATCTTTTTGAATGAGTTTAAAAACTTAGAGAGTACATCAACTCATCTTTTATCTGATAAATAGAGTTACAGGAAAGAAGATGTGACATTAAAAAAAAATTACGTTCACTCTTCTTGTTGATAGGTATTCAGTTTTTCTTAATGCGTAGTCATAATAACCCATCACTGTATGAAACTTTTGATAAATACTGCGGGATATTCAATAGTTTAGAGTTCTTAATAAAAAAAAATATGTATTAAATAAATGTGTTATAGTTGAATTTCTTTTTTTTTTATAAAAATTCAATTAGTTCATTTTCACTGTTAAATCTTCAATATCAATATCTTGTATTTCATCATCGGATGATTTCGTCGTTGTTTTCCATGCTCCTTGTTTTTTATAGATTGTTTCGAATTTTGCTAACGCTCTCGATTGATATCGACGAAATGCTTTAATTGGTCCATCAGCTGATACAATTTTACCTAATGGTTTAGCACCCATTTGAACAATATTACGATGAATTCCATTAAGTAAAAGTACATCTTGATCAACAATTTTCTTGTTTATTTTTGCAGCGACATAATCGTAACCAGGTGTATATTCAAACCATTTATAACAAGCAAAATTACGATAGAATTGTAATAATAGACGCATTTTATTTTCAGCATTTGGTAAAATAAAAAAAATTTGAACGTATAATTGTTTCTTCTTACTATTATGATGTTCTAAACGAATAAAACATGGTGGAATAAAATGAACATAACTGAAATCATTCCATGAAAGTGGTGGAGATTGTTCATATCGTTGTACTTTGAATGATACTGATTCGCTATTTGTTGAAAAATAAGGTGAAGGTGTAATACGTTCAGATCGCATACATGAGGCTTGTGATCGTTTACCAATAGTCCCATCATGTGTAAAATCAACATGAGCCATATCAAGTAAATTATCAATCATTAAATCATAGGGAATATCAAGATAACATGAATCTTCTGGAGATAATAAAAATTCACCATTTATATTTTGAACATCAGTAAAAAGACGATGTGGAATTAAATCACTATTAGCTAATTCTCGTTTTCCTGGCCATACCCAAATAAATCCATATTGTTCATGAACTGGTACTGTTCGAGCACATATTAATGAAGCTGTATTCGATTTTTTTGACACTGATGGAATATAAACACATTGACCATTAGCACCATATTGCCATCCATGATAAATGCATTCGAGATTACCTTCTTTTGTTATTTTACCCAAACTAAGTGGAGCTGATCGATGTGGACAAACATCTAATACACATACAATTTGACCATCATTGGTTCGATATAAACATAAAGGTTCATTAAGTAAGTAAAAACCAAATGGTCGACTTGAACCACATGGTATTTCATGTGAAAATGCAACAGGATACCAATATAATGAATGATCTAATGGATCATATGTAGAAGTTGATAATGACAAAGGTTTTGTAGATGAATAGGATTGTATTCGACAACGAGCGGTATCACGTTTTTTTACTCGATTATACTGTCGAAGGACAAGACATGAAAATAAACCAATAATAACAGTCGTTGCTAGCGAAAGAACAACAACAAACATTTTGCTTATGAATGAAAAAGAGTATGTAAGAGTGTTACGTATTCAAGGTTGTAGAGAATACCTATATATATACCAATAGCAAGCAATGGTTACATAACCAAAATACCTAACTGAGGTTTTTTTTGAAAGAACGAAATAAAATAAATGATTATGACATTGTCCAAAAGTCCAAAGAACAGTGGAATATGTTCTGATAACCTTTGCAAAAAATAAAAATATAAAAATTAATCTAAAATATTTGTTTAGTATCAATTTTTATTTTAATTGCTTTTTACTGCTTTACCTCACTAATATTAATTTATAATAGGATCGAAACGAAGTTCGATAGTATTCAGACGTTTCTAATAAAAGATACTAAAGTATTATCCTAATGTATTTTATCATTAAATTAATGGTCAGTAGCACTTTAAAGAAAACATAAGAATTTCTTTTTTTCTTTGACTATTTTCATTTATTTATAGATTTACATTGGTTGAGTAAATGAAAATGTTTTATAATATAAATAGATCTTTCATCATGAAAATATTTTTAAATTCGTCAAAAGCATCTTGTAGATGACAGCTAATTATAATTAATTGTCATTTCACAAAATGTTTTTAACGATTTCATAAAAGTCAAAGTAACCACCGGTTCACAAGATCTTTTTAATGAGTCCACAAAAATCAAATTAATTTTTATCTAGCAAGATGTTTTTGACAAGTTCATATAGAAATTACAAGTTTCTTCTACGAATGTTTCTTATTTTCTCTCGTGTCATTTCATTTACGAATGTATGACAAACATAAATCGTACACTGCTTGAAAGAGGAGAAAATTTCCTATCAACTGATAAAAAAATATTCTTTTCCAAACGTGTTTATTGAAAAGTTATCAAAAGAATATAGAGATCATTATTTTGCGCAGTTTTTCTGACTCTCACGGAAAGTGCCGATTCTTTCTAAAGGTGTTTCTTTTTTCTGCTATGTCATTTCGTTTATGAATGTGTTATAAAAACAAGTTATTTACGATTCGAAGGATAAGAAAAGGCTCTATCGTTTGATAAAAAATTTTTTTGTTCTTAATATCCTTTTGTCGAAGAGAAATAGGACTCGACATTTTGTCCTATTACTTTTACATCGTATATTATTTGTGAAAGTAATAAAACATGCAATAAAAAACATAAATATGTAAGTATACAATTTAAATTGTTTTATTCAATAAATATCTGCAATCATACAATACAAAATCTTTCAACAAAAATAAATAGAAAAACAAAATTTTCATAAATAGTTATATATATATATACATATAGACAAAAACAAATAATAACATATCACAATAATGAATTGTTTGTAGCATCATCTGCTGACTTTTGAAATTCAATTTCTATCATCTTTCGATTATCTGTATTTGAAAATGACAAAAGCCAACTTGTTACTAAATCGGATTTGTTCCATTTAGAATGGAATTCAATAGAGAGAGAAATAGTAAAGACACCCCTAAATAAATAAATATATAATTTTGATGATTTTAATGTATATTTTTTTTTTGTCTTACCGTCCAATTCTTGTTAATTGAAATGGTGGTTTATTAAGAATAATTTGTGATGGTGTAAATGTTGGATGTAAATTAATTGTAATCTGTTTAATAAATTGACCAATCTCATTTTGATGATCATTCTCAAGTTTAATGAATAATGTCCATTCATGTCGTGTATAATCATACTCATATGATAATAAATGATCAGTATTTCCAATAATTAAACGTTTTTTAATTATATTTTTTCTTTCATTTTCAATTTCATTTCGTCGTATTTCATATTCTTTTTCATATTCTTGTCGAAAAAGATTATGAAGAATTGAATTTGTTTTTAAATTATTAGAAGTTGAACGAAGATAAGTAAAATCTTCGCGACACATTGGACATTGTAATACACAGTTTGATGTTAAAATGAAACGTTCTAGACATAATAAACAAAATGTGTGACCACATAATGTTGATACTGGTTCATAAAGAAGTTTTAAACAAAATGGACAATCTCGATACGTCTCTAAAACATCATGACTCATCTAGAACTTTATATTTAAACAAAAGAAAAATATTGACTTTGTACTTCTTTAATAAATAAATAATTTTTTCTTTAAAAGCCATCGACAAAATGAAACAGAAAAGCAAAGAAAAAATAATGGGATAAAAGAAAAATATTTGTTTTCAAACTATTCAAATGCATGAATGTTTTTTACAATAGAATACATTCGAGACTGAGCATTAATCATGAATCATCTAAAATTTGTTTTTACAATAAATATATGTTGCTATTTTAGAGACTAAACGAAACTGAAAATTTGTATGCAGATTTAATGACATATGGAGATAATGATGATGTTCATATGACCAAAATGAACGAGACAAATCCTCTAATATAAAAAATAATCAATAATTTTCATTACTATCCGGAGAAAAAGAATTGAAAAACACATTGATCGTTCTCGACAATATTTTGTCAATGATTACCTAAGAAACAATGAACATGATTTTTATTGCTCATTATTAATCTTCAAATCCTTTTCTAAAAATAGATTATCTAAAAAAAAAATTAGTCATCAACAATTATTCATTCTGAGATTAGAAAAATGAAAATTTATAAAACACAATTATCATAGTCAGAGGTTATAGAAAAAGTCAATTTACATGCTACTAAAAACAAAAATACCGAAAGATTAACAATAAAAAGAAGAAATGATTAATTAACTGACTGGAAGAGCATTATTAAACTTAATTATTATTTTGTTTTGATAATTTTCTTTGTTGTCCAATATGGTCTTGAGCATGATAACGTTGTTGCTTTCGATTATATTCATCTAGATCCATACCTTATATTTCAGACTCGTGTTTATTTTGATCAGTTGCTACTTTTCGACGAGTCGCCTGCAAAATATTGATTTTTTTTAAACAAAATACAACAAGATATTTTTCATCTCGATAATAAAATTTAATTATTATTTTTTTTTTTATTATTTTATTTCTTAGAATGTTATCACAAAAGAGATTAAGAAAGAAAAGCTTTTTTTTGTTTCATTTAATTATTCGTAGATGATAGTAAAAATTGTGAAACAATTGGGATGATTTGAAATAAACTATTTGTTAAATAATGATCATCGTTAACTTCAGCTAGTTTAATTAATTGTTTATCTTTTTGCTCATTAATAAAATTTCGACTAGCTTCAATTGGTACAAGACGATCAAGTGTTCCATGTACAATTGATGTTGGACATGATACTTGTGGATATAATGAATGATGTTGTGTTATATCATCAAAGAAAACATAGTGTAATTGATGACCATTATATGAATATGATCCAGATGATTTCCAATTCGATAAATCATCATGAGATAAAAATTCACGCCAACGTGCAGCTAGACCAAATGCTGGACATAGAAGAAATAATTTTTTTACACGATCAGGATGTAGTTCAGCATAACGTGCAGCAATATAACCACCTAAAACAAAATTATATTGATTTTGATTCAATTTAAATTTTGATTATTTACCCATGCTTGCACCGATGAGATTCATTTTAATTGGTTCATTTTGTATTTGATTTTGTTTTTGTTTATCATCAAATAATTTATCAATAACTTTAATTGCATTTGAAACAGAAAATTCACTAAATGATGGTTGATTCAAATTTGGTTGTTCAATAGGAACATGAAAAAATGATGCAACATATTTTGCTATTTGACCACCACCACCTATACTACCACCGTCTTGAGAAAATCCATGTAAAAAAACAAAGATTTCTGATGGAGAGATCATTACTGTACAAGTATTAGTTGAATTCAATCAAAAAATTTTTCGTATGAAGAAAAACAGAAGAAATACAGAATAATAAGCAAATTGAAATACCGTGTCGGCTGTAGTTTCACTTCTCGACTGACGATAAGAATCAATATACGCACCCATTTATAAATTGAAGTTGTACTTATATAAAGATAGTTCTAGAGTTTTCTTTTTATCAGGTGTTACGTTATGTTATGACAATGACGCGTGTGAGTCATTCTCTCAACAACCTCAACCAACCGATGATGATAAGGAATCGATTCACATTCTGTACAAGTACGATATCTATTGAAATGTATTCAATGATTCAGACAGTTAGATTGTTAGTTTAGTTAAAATAATATAGTGAGGTATGCATAATGTTTTTCATTTTGCGTAGATCTTATCTTCACTTCTAGGTACATTTTTCGTTAACGATTATGTTATGCGAGAGACTCTCGGAAGCAGACAAAATGCCCCTTGTTTTTCATTTTTCGTAGAGTTTGTGTTTGCTTCAAGAAAATTAACAATTCTCATATGTTCGATTACGATCGAACTGCGACGCAATTACGCGCAATTGTCACGCAATTGTTAAAAACGTGGCGACATGGATTCTCTTGCATTTTATTCTTTTACTATTGATTCTCTTGATGTTTTTGAAAAAAACAAACATATCTATATATGAAACAACAATTATATTTGGTAGCATTTTTTCATACTAGTAAAACAATAAAATCTTTGAATGATGAATGAAATTCTATAGTTTTATATTTAAGATAAGTTAACTTATCAATTTGAACTTAATAACGACGAAATAAATTTATTTTTCATCAAAATAAGATGAATTGTTTGCAAGAATAATAACAAATAAACATCGTAATAGGTCACAGTGAAATAAGACTATTTTTTATATGAAATTACTAATATTTTGCCATTTGTCTGACTCAAAGCATAAAAAGATGTATAAATTATACATCAGAATTCAGAAAAAAAGTAACCGTAATAAAATCGTAAAGAAAGGCAACGAAACATGTATGCTGACGTAAAGGGAAAAAAAATAACCGTGTATTGAGTCAATAAAAAAAACACTCAAAATGAATTTTGAGAGAGCATATATATTCAAATACGCAGTCAGAATAAAAAAATTTCAGGCAGAACGTACAAAATGATGGCAGCAGCAAATTTCAGCGATTTGTATGTAGCATGTTGTAAAGGTGATATAGCTGTAGTCGAACGGTTATTACCAGTTACTTCATTGAAAGCTCTCAATCATGTTGAACCAGATGGAAATACTTGTCTTCATGCTGCTTCTTCTCGTGGTTATAAAAATATTGTTCGCCTTCTTCTTACAAAAGGAGCATGCCGTCGTGTACAAGATCGAGATGGTCGTTCACCTTTAGATGCAGCACGAACAGGAGAAGTTGCAAGACTTTTTGCTCGTTCGGCAGAAGCATCACAACAACGCTTTAGTACTAGTCCAGCTCAACAACCTGAATGGCAATTCGCGAACGATAATGCTGAATCATTTTCGCGTGCTTTTCATTGGGGATGTATTAAAGATCGTGGCATTAAAAAAACAGTTAAAAAAATTCAAAAAGCACACGTTTTAGACGAAGACCGAAGCGCAGCAACTGAAGTTGTAGAAAATTATTTTAAAGATGCATTAGAAGAAAAAAATCCATTACATTTACTTAAAGCTTATACTGTTGAAAGTTCATTTTATAAACAACTTAATCGTGAAATGGCTACTGGAAGTAGTCGAAAAGTATTTGAAAAATTACGTGGAAAATGGACTGGTTATTATACAGGTATTATTGCGAAAAATCCAGCATTTGATCGTTTTCGTTTTTCGGGACAAACATATCGTGGAATGGAAATAACTCGATCTGATTATGCACAATATAAAATTGGTACTGCATTATCAAATAAATCATTTCAATCAACATCAAAATCATGGAAAATTGCCAAAGGCTTTGCTTGTCCATCACATCCAAGACCTGAAAGATTACCTGTGGTTATTATTTTTACAATAGCCGATCGAAGATCTGCATTGAATATTGAAGAAATATCAGAATTTCAATATGAAGAAGAAGTACTAATATTGCCCGGTACTTTATTTATAGTAGCCAGTATCAATCAAGATCAAGTACCTTATGAAATTGAATTAGAACAACTTCCATGGAAAGATGAATTTTGATCATTTATAAAGAAAAAAAGAGTGTATTTTTATATATTTGTCATTTTTTTTGGAGAAATACATTTTCATGTAACGTGTTCATTAAATTTGCATTAAAAAACATTCTGTTAAAATTAAACTTTATTTTTTAATAATTTATTTTAAAACAATTTAGCTCTATAAAAAGAATTATTTTTATCCTAGAACAGTCCAAAGATTTATAACAATGAAGTATTTGATTAGAAATATTATAGAGTATCATACATAAATCATGAAAAAAAAAATATATCAACAGAAAAAGAAAAGGGTGCACATGGTAAATAACATGATTATCGATGTCATTTATCAACTAAAGAAAGGTATGCACATAAACATGTTTTCAACGACATTATATAAAAAAAAGGTATAATTTGCAATAATTTACCTCGAAGTAAATCATGCTGACAAAATTTTATATTATTTTCTTTTGTCTGAATAGCTATTCAAAATCTACTATAAATGTACATTGAATATTGTGTTTCGAAAAATATTTCTATAAGATTTTTACTTAAATAAAAACGAAAATGACGCATGTATTTCATCTTAATTCATCTGACATTTTCTTTTCCAAACTTTATTTCTTTAAATGAAATATTATGAATTAATGAAAAGATAATCTATAAACGAAAAGATCGGTTTTTTCAAAGCGAAAAAACGAAAACAATATATCATAAAAAAATATCTTCGTTTTGTCCATTGATTCTTTCAGTCAAGAACATCTTAATACCAAATTAATGAATTGAATGTATTGAGTAGCCAATGATTTTCATTTCAAAAAAAAGAAGAGTAATCTACTTGAAATAGCACGTCCATGTAATATTACTAGGAGATCATGGAACTGGATTTATGAAAAGATTGAAAAAAAAATACATGTGTAAAAAAGTGTGACATAAACTTTTCAAATTTATATATTTCGCATAGATGAAAACGGTCTTTTTCAGTACAGTAATGTCATTACTATCTATGAAGTACTCTAGTTGACAATTCTATCAGTGCTGTTTCCAATATTTGCGTTTAATAAGAGTTATTCAATATTATCGTCTTTTTCTATATGGATATCAACATCTTCATTGTTATCTTGTTTCTTTTTGTCGATTTCTTCATAATTCTTTGCATTCTTAATAGGATTTATAGATTCTTTTGACACAGGATTATCGTTAATAAGCTACTCGTGCATCTATGAATAAGTATACTTCTTTTTTTGACTATTTCACCTAATAATCGTCATACTCAGCATCATCATTCATGAATAGTCAGTTTGTAAATCAATCTCCACTTCTTTTATAACTATGAAAATAAGAACAATTAATTAACACATTCAACTCGATGGAACCTACTATATTTTAACAAGAAACTTAATAGAAAAACACTTTCTTTTCCTTTTTTTTCTTAAGCAGGAGGTTACACATAATGTGTCATCTGCTCTGCCTTCGCTATTTTTTGAACCATTTATTGCATAACCTGATACTTCTCATTAAAACAATCAGGACAAAGAAATTTGTCATAGTCAGAACAGAAGGTTTTTATTTTCTTTGCTGTCACATGACTCTCTTCTCTTCATTGTTGTTCCCTGTTTTTCTCATAGTGTCTACTACAGCATCTTCGGACGATGCGTGCAGATCCTTCCTTTTCTTCAAGCATGTGATCAGCGAAATCGAAGGTCCGTTTCGTTATTTTATTCCCACTGCGCAATATATAAAAGAAAGAGAAAAATAAACTTGAGTGATTAATTCAGTTCGACGTAAAACAGACCTGCCTGTGTAATTATACAAACTAGAAAAAGAAACACAACTATCAGCACATACTGAAAAGACTAATGGGTGCAAATGAATCTGTTAAAGCTATTTTCTAAGAAAATCGAATCAGGTCAAACGCGTTAAACCTCTATTGGCAAATGATAACTACTATGTATAAGTAAATTTTCAAACAAGAAAAATATAAGAAATACATCACAGTGATATGAAAAGGTCAAGATACGACAAGTATCATGGATGTATAAAACGAATCATGACTTTTATTTGTTAATAGTTATCGCCTTTTAAAATAGGGTTAATTGTAGCAGGTCGTGGCCTCGATAAGATCATAGACATAATACATAATAAATACTTTTTATTGCATATAAAAACCAATAGAAAAGAACAAAAAAACATCAAAACTGAAAATAATCAAAACCTCAACCTGAATTTGAGATCAAAAGACCATAGTATGTTGAGTGTCTAGTATACGATAATCGTAAGTTTCATGAATAACTAACAGTGATTGAGCCCAATTAGTAACATAATTAATTGGATTATATGTTTCAAATGCTTGAAGATTGTCATGTTGAGTAAAGCTACCCGTATCATATTCAATAAACCATAATTCATCTGTTGAATAAGCCATATGTCTCATATCAAATAATACATGATGATTAACAAATGCTTTAAAACGTTGATTCATATTTGTATGTCCAGCTATCCAATTAATCATATAATCACTATAACTAGCACCTAATGCAATAGCTCGATTTCATCAATATAAGAAAATAATTGAAAATTCCATTGATAACTCTATGAATCATACCAATTATTTTGTGGACTATTATGAGTAAAAAGAGAAAAAGCAAATGGAACTTTTTTATTTGTTCCATTTGTAGATGGGATATGCCATTCCCATACTATTTCATTATCTGCATCAATAAATAAAAATTTTTCAAATGAAGAACTCATTCGAATTTTAGATAATAAATTTTTATTATGATTTGTTATTGATTGAATTGATATTGATGATAAATATAAATAAATATTAGATGGTTGAAGAATATTTTCATGAATAAATAAAAATATATTATTATTTATTGAATGAATATTAATATTACTTGATGCACCATCATTTAAAAGACAAATAATTGTTGGATTAGGTATTAGATAATTTATAAATAATATGGCTTACTTCTTCAACTAATTCAAGATAAAGTGATTGACTATCATTTGATCATGTTATAACTTGAATACTACGATCCTAGTCATTAAGAAGTATTATTTTAGAACTAGAATCTATAGAAAAAAAAGAGTCAAAAAATAAGTTGACAAAATATATAAAAATTTACCATTAATTAATGTGATTTTAAATTGATCAGCTTCATAAGAAGATATTGATTGTGATTGACAAATTAAAATTTGATCATCGATTGGTAAATAACTTGGATCTTTATCTGTTGCTAAATTTTCACATCTTATATATTTACTAACTAAATATGATAAAGTTAAATCAACTATATATATATATAGGGATCGTATATAGTGCGAATATTGCATCCTTATAGCTGTAGGCGTACTGTATTTTGTCGTGAAACAGGTCAGTGTTTTACGACCATATTCATGCCATGTCGTATATGGCCTGTTTACGGCTAATATACGATGACCTTATGTAGTCATATTTTCGCTGTGTATATATTGTACCAGCGCCATATTTGATATCATGTATTGTCGTATTCACATGCAGCTCAACGATATGAGTCAATCAAGTGTTTAATGGACAAACAGTGATATGCTTAGGTGTAGTCAATTCAAAGTTTTCACTTACAGAACGTAATAATCTTCAAAAAAATGCATTATATACACCTAATCAAGTATGATGAACAAATACTTCGAACACCACACAATCTTCTTATCGAAGTACCAGAACATTTTGTCAAGTATTACTTAATTCATCTAATACATTTACTCAAGCATACTATGATTGTAATACATCACAAACGTATTTCACGTGGTAGAACAGTGTAAGAAGTATAATTCATAATAATAAATATACAAAAAGTTTAAGATGCTATTATTAACATATCTAAAAAATGTACAAAAGACTTTTCCTTTATCCTTTAATTTTGTTTTATTTTCTTTTTCATGCCTTGTTTTAAAAATATTTTATGAATTTTTTGGTAAAAAGAAATCGTTAGATTTTATAAACAAAAGTCTGAAAATACATTATTAATTATTTTTTTTTTTTATTTCTTTTTTCAGATAATTTTTTTATTTTCATATAGTAAAATCTATTCAATATTTAGGTTCACATTAAATAAGACTTCTCGTAGTTTTCTAATGAGTTTCATTTATCACTTACAAGTAACATAATCATGATTGCAAGATTAGATTCCATCACGTTGTATAGTTAGACAAACTGATGCAGTCTGCTATTATTTTCTAGTATACAAGAAGTATTCATATACATATTACATATCTCAATTTTGCCATATGTATTTTGTAGACAAAATAACTTTGCAATGTAGAGAAAGCAAGAAAGTAAAAAATATTTGGAGAAATAAACATGCCTGTGAATGTATTAGAGAGTAGTTTTCGCTATTATAAATTAGCATGTCATCGTATACTTTAGCGAATTATACTGTATTTCCATGTGTAAGAAAATAAATAGAAATGTCCATTACTTTGAATTACAAAAAGAAAACATCAATGAAATTATTTCTCAACATAAATGTAAATGTTTTAAAGACCTAAGAAAAAAGAAAATATCGTAAAAAAGATTTCATTAACACTATACATTCATTTATTCGTTCGTGTGTGAAATGAAGATTATATAGACACTAAAATATTATGTGATTAATGCATCAAGTTACTGGTTGCATAGATATTGTCATAGGAATGTAGACTTCAACACTTACATATCGCAAATTTTACGAATTTTGATCACGACCCTAATATAGAATATATTTGAATGTCGAATTCTAATAACATGTTGTATGTATGTGTTTTTTGCACAAAAAAAACTTAGGAGTTATTTGATTATTTACAGGGTGATAAACAATAAGAGAAATATGTTGTACGTAATTTGGCACCTTAAACAAGGAATATATAGGTTAAAGTATTCAACTTTTTAAAAGTATTTTGGCAATTTTTATTATAATATAAAAATGCATGTTGATAAAATAATTGAGATAAATAGAATCACAGAGTAAGTATCAATGTCTTACATACTGGAGCAATCATAAGCGTTCCACATTTTTCTGTGTTGAAGGTAAGGCTGAATATTTTTTCAAATCTTTAATACCATCAAGGATTCGTCGTTGATGCATTGTATTGTGAACACCATATTGAACGAGCTTGTTCTGATCAACAACATGGAGAAGTTGAAATCCATCAACGTTATTTTTTTTGAAGTTAGGCGCATAACGCACATATTCCTCACCAAGAGATGCAATCCAAAAACAAACATCTTCACATGTTTCCACATTGTTGTAAAAGTGCGTGGCTATAAAAGAAAACGTAATACAAAATAGTTCTCAATATAGGTCTTCAGAAAAATTACTTAAAAAGTTATTCGTGTCAACATTTTTTTTACACTATGAACTCCTTTTAATACAACTTACAAGAAAACATCGCCTAGTATCGGACCACTTTTGAGCCGAGAGTTTGCGTATTTTGTAGACCTTAATGAATTATATCTACCATAAGAGTTCGTGCCGATAGCTTGTTTCTGAGGATATCGAAGGTTTTTACTGTTACAATCATATGAGTTATCTTATCAAAAAAAAAATCACTCTCTCAGTTAATATAAATTGAAACAAGCTCCAACTTTCCTCATATATAGTTATATTCATGTGATCGACAATGTGACTGTATGAGCGACAATGAGCTTAAAAAAGCAGAGCTATCAGTGTTAGAAAATATTAACGTTACTCTAAATATTTTGAAGGAGACCACTGATTTCGTCGTCACCTGTATTATTGAAGTTTGAATCTAATTCAGAATCGTCAGGTTTAACGTATTCATCTTCATTATCTTCCGTTATTTAATTTGAAATGTGATTAAGTGAAGTTTCATTTTCTATGGAAAATCAATGACAATTGATAATTGAATTTAAGACTTCAGTCATATGATCGGCAACCTGTTGTATGCGTATTTTTGAAGCTAAAAGATTAACATTTACAAATGCAACTGATTGAGAAAAATTCTCTGAGAGAAGAGAAGACACTACCAATGCATTAATCAGTTTTGTTAGAACCGAGCAAAAAGAATATTAAATAAGAAAGCATACTAACATACTACTTTTCACTCCCTTAAACACTTAGTATCAATCCGATCTATTCATTGATCTTCATCTGATTCATTTGTTTTTATGCGATACTTTTCATAATGTGTATACAAAAGAGATCACTTTATATTTAACTCACAATATAAGCACTATGACAGATATCAGAACCTAAGAAAAAACAAATATATTATCGTAGCGAACCGTAATTATCAAGCATTCAAATGTATATTGCGACATACGTACTCAATGTTTTAAAATTTTCGACTATTTATCTTGTAATTCTAAGAAATAGCATAATAACCGATATTTAAAACAATGTTAACATTTTCTAAAACCAATAGCTCTGTTTTTCTAAGTTCTCTTGCACTCATACAGTTACATTATCTACCACATCATTACAACTACACATGAGGACAATCGCAGCTTGTTTCAATTTATATTAATTGAGAGAGTGATTTTTTTGATAAGATAATTCAAATGACTGTAACAGTAAAAATCTTCGATATCCTTAGAAACAAGCTATGAGCATGAACTCTTTTTATGATAAATATAATTCATCAAGATCTACAGGAAATGGAAAGTCCCAGCTCAAAAGAGCTCCGATACTTGGCAATATCTCCTTGTCAGTCGAAAACGAGACTCTTACTTTTAAACATAGGCATAGAAGCCATAGCTTGAAGTGGTTTTGGATGCATGGAATACATAGGGTTATTTGAAGTAGGTTGCAAATGAGAATAATTGTTGCTATTAGAAACATACTGTGGTGTAAGAGCTGCAGTAAAATTACTAGATGCCATTGGTTTCAGACTCGGTTTTCTGTACTTATTTGGTTCTGTTTCAACCATTACTTGATGACCGAGTTGTAATACGGATTCCTGACTTGTTTCAGGAAATTTTTCAGGGATTCGCTGTGAATTAAATTGAGAAGCGGTTGTATACATGTTGGAATTTGTATTTTGATTATTAAACAAGTTGGTGGCACTATTAAATCGTTGTTGACGGACAGAAATAGTCGAAACCAAATCGGGCAATCTATTCGGCTGCCATCTTTCCCCTTCGTACACAATCCATTTGCTCAGACACTGTATAAAAGTTTTACCATATAGAAAATCCAACCATTTCTTAGGTAGTTTATCATAACCATAGTATGCGCCAGCTAATTGGCCATAAATCGCCGCTGTTGTGTCGGTATCATCGCCGAGATTGACTGCAGCAAGAGCTCCATATTCAAACGAATTTCTATCATAGAAAAAGGCCCATAAAGCGGCTTCCAGAGCATTGACAACATATCCTGTGCCTCGAATGCCATCACTATATCCACCCTCCTTTTGATAAGATCCTTGTGCAATATTCATAATGTCTGAATGGAGTGGCTTATTATTGAACCAATCTTTATGCTTGAAATAAAAATTCTTGTCGAGTAGCTCATTTTTGTCCACACCTTGGAGAGCAGCCACAATTAGAGCGCCGTAGTAACGACAGGCATCATAAGCACGCTGATCATCATGAGTAATTATTGCACTGAGTCCACAATACTCAACGGCTTTCTTTGGATGACGGTAGAAGAACAACGGAACAGGAGCAAGTCGCATTAAAGATCCGTTACCAGCTACATTCTTTCCACCACAAATTACATTGAACTTATTCGAAACTTCAGAAGGTGTTAGATAGTCCATTAGTTCATATGAAATATTGTATTTTCTAGAGAATTCGATTTGACGACGTTCGAATTCCATCAACGATTGCTGGGTGGATGCACCAATATCGAAACAACTGCCTATAGCGGACATATAACCGTTTCGAAACCACCATTTGTATCGAACGAGTTGATCATAAGGAAAAAATCCTTGATGTGCCACCAATGAATTTCCTAGACATAGAGTCATCGAAGTGTCATCAGTGAACTAAAATCATAAGAGAAGCAGTTGGTTGTAGGACTTTAAAAAGATACAAAAGCTAGAAGAAGTCTGTCAGCATTTTAGAATTATTTATTTCTAACACGCTAATTGCAACAATCAAGTACAATACATAAATAACTATCGAAAAATGTTTTACTTTTGTGTGCTTATCAACAACATGTCCTTATACATCAAAGTATATTTGATCAAATTATTCTATATGTCGTGCAGGTTCTTAGAAGAATTATACTCGCATATGTTTTCTGCAGCATTTTATATTCTCTTTGAATTAATTAATATGAAATAGAAACATTCCTTTCAACATAGTTTATTGAAATAAAAGAATATATAATGTATGAGCAATCTTTAAACGACATGGAAATAGTAGACTGCATCACTCAAATGATTTATAGGACTTTGTATTCATATATGCTGATGAACTTTGCTGTTGTCCCTCAATATCAAAATACTCATTTATTAAGTATGCTTATCAAATTATTGCTCTCTATGCTGCTAATTTCTCGAAGAACAAACTGAGAAAGCTTAGAAAATCAACTCCATTAACTGACTGTTCACGGAACAGATATTATCGCTTTTCTCTGAAAGAAATAAAAACTAGAAACCTTTGCAAAACTTTTCTATCCTCAATTAGAAACCCATTTAAGGCTATAACAGCTCGTTAATAGTTGCTAATTGAGGATATGTTTGAAAGTTCTTTAGATAGAAAGTAATATATTCGTACAGTTGTTTCAAATAGTTCATGTGAATTTTTGAATTTGAGCTGTTCAAAATCTATATTCTTCAGAGTACAAGATTAAGCCGAATGGTTGTATAATTTCATTCTATTTGATCTAAGTCGTTAAGTAAGATAACCGAGAACTACACGTCAATTAAGTTTTTATTTTATCTCGGTACGATATTGAGTGAACCAAAAACCTAACAGAAATTGTTATCAAAGTCCACAATAGGTCGACCTTTTTTGGAGCTCTGGTATATCACAAATAGGCTTACATCCATTCCAGCCTATCTGCACCTGTCATTCTATTTCTTCGGTGTATCCTGCTTGCTTGTCATTTTCTTCTGTCTGTCTGGCCTGCCTGTAAAGGCTTGCCAATTTTTTTTCATGCCAATACCATGATAATAATAGAATACAATTAAGTAATAATCTTCATAGAAAGCCAAACAAGTCACTGGAATCAATTTATATGACTCCAGTAAAAACTATCTAATATGAACATCTAAGAGAATATTTAAAATTGCTGACTATACAGAGATGTTTACTTCTTATGTATGCACGAACGCATGTAACTTATCTACGAATCTTATAGGTGAAAGGTCAATATCTGATAAGTAATTAAGGTATAATCAATGTCGAAACTTAAAGTCAAAGGTAGTTTTTGTTTTAGCTATGATGTGACTTTTGATGAACACTAATTGAGTCAGAAGTAAAGAAATACTTATGAAGGGAAGTTACCTCTCCTTTGTTGAGTCCCCAAGTGCCACCACCCACGAGATCTTTCACCGGATGTGCAGCTAAAAAAGAGTGAGGCTTAAACTCAACATGAGCGCCAAGAGCGTCGCCCAAAGCGATGCCTGTCATTGAACCCTGTACACGATCCAATATGTTTTCATCGACAGACACTGGTGGATCACTCAGCTCGTCTTCGAGTTCACCGGGCCTCTTGATAAATCCGTTCGGATGATACTGCATGTTGAGCCATAGTTTTTCTAAAATTGAACATTTCTTTGCGATTGATTGATTGAGCTATTTCTGTTAGAATCACACTTTCTGATGAATAGGAAAATCACATATTATACACAACATATCTTTATATGTGACTCACTAAAAGTTATATGAAGAAAGCGTATGTAGATTTTTCATCTCTCTCATCAAAAAATAGATAAAATTTCCATTCCAACAAGTAGAACTCGTATTGTCATAAACATCACTTAATTCTGAAGGGCAATACACCGAATAATTATCAACAACTAATTGTTCTTCTTGTCCTTAGTGAACTTGTTGATCTAGATTAAACCAGTAATATCTCATTTTTGTGGTTCTCGATCTAATGCATGTGCTCTGATTCAAAATTTTTACAACTTTTTTTTCCGGTAACGTCCGGTATCAAAAATGATATAGACATTTATTAGGAAGTTGTTCCTTGGCTTCACATCTTTATTGAAAATAGTATTTTAAAGTTTCTAATAATGAGAAACTCTGTTGAGTCTGTTAAAAAGGAATCTCTCGAATCCATTGAATCTCCTAATGTTCAGGTAAGTGCAAACATAGTTCGCCATAACATTCTTTTTAAAATTAAGTAGTCTTTGAACGACACAGCGGCTAGTATTCACTTTATTTTATTCTCTTATGTCTGTGGAAGCTCGTGATAAAATAAGTAAAATTATACGGTACCTTTTTGAGAGGACCTTCTATGTACATGCAAATGCCTGTTCATATTTGTTGCTGATAAAGATAAAATATTCTAGTTTATCCGATATATTGCCGCGTTGTTGTCAACTATGTGCTTGTGTTGTTTGATGAAACGTGGCTTTCGTATCTGTTTTGTTTTAAAAAGTATCAGTGTGATAAAATACTTTTGGTCTTGTTTTTCTTTTCTTCTGCTTCATCGCAATAAAAAAAATATATCATGAAAAAGTAAAAAAACCATTCAAGTGGAAAAAACAGTCACTTTCACGTAATACCAAAAAAGAACACTCTAAGTTAAAATGTGTCGGATGTGTCATGATTTACAACACATGTCACGACACATTCAAGCACGACACGAGGTGCTCGTTGCGACACATTTTCTCCAGCAAGCGTACGACACATCCGACACATTCTGAAATCACGGTTCGAGTCTAGGTTTCACCGTATCTATATATTTTTTTCTTTCATGCATTATATCCATCAATATTTAATTAGTACAATTAACATCAGTGTTTGATGCAATACTGTAAAACAGCCAGACTTTGAGATCCAGCCATGTAAGGCTAGTCAGATCTTGGTCAGACTACTGCCACGTAGACCTCTCTTAATGCGAGGTCATCATTTCTCGAAATATTTACGAGAAATATATTATATAAAATGGTGCATGAAAACTAGTGATTCGCATGTGATGGTTCAGATCCATTATATATAGATAAACACGCGAAACAATATGGTGAATGAACAGTCGTCATATATGTACAGAACGGTTAAAAATGTGACACATTAAAGTGCGACACATTTTCTTGCTGATACCTACGACACTATTATTCACGACGGAAAAAGTCGACACATTTTAACTTAGAGTGAACGCTTACTTCTCAAACATGAACAGTCACAGCGGAAAGACTGAAAGAATTAATCCTCTCCACTCTTAAGAAAAAGTTGCACTATCAATTTACAAGTGTGTACTGGTGCCGACATTTATATCAAATAATCAATGTGAACTTTGTGTCTGTGTCGACACTTTATTTGTTATAATTAATGAAGAGCATGTGTATAATGTATACAATTACAAGTATTTTCTTCTCCTTTATGATTCACATATAAAAGTATTAAAGTAATATTTTTTCAGCAAGCATTGATCAAAAATAATGAATAAAAAATTAGAAAGATATTAGTATATATTTCGTTTTGAACAAGAGATCTAACGGTGATATAGATAAAAATATCGCACAACAATCAATAGCAAATAATTTCTATAATCCCAATAACAAAAACGACTTCGAATTTGATTATAATAAAGTAGTTTCAATTGCTACTTCTTCATAGTCTGTGAATCAAAATCCTACCATTATTATTGATGTACCTGTCAAGAATGATGATATTAGATTAAATGTTTCAAATCAACTAGCCACGAAGGATTTTTTTATTTTTAACCCTGTGTAGGCGGACTTATTTTTTTCATAAAAAATGAAATTGTGTTGCCAAAATTAATTATATTTTGAAAGTTATTCATGGTCATAATTATTGCCCTTAGATCTCATTTAAAAGATGCAGCTGCACTGTAAAAAAAATTCGTAGAATAATAAACTCTATGAAAAGGGTTTATTATTCT